CCAAGCAGTCACTGCAGAGTCAGTAATGACTGAGCGCAGATTAAAAAAAAAAAAAGAGGAAAACAACAAAATAAACAACTACATTTGGAGGGAGGAGCAAGGAGGGGCAATAGCTATGTGTTAACATATTAGTGGTGGTGACTGTATTTGGCTTCAGACCCTGAAAAGCTTCAGCATAACTTTGCTATTTAGACCATGAAAAACTTCTTGAGCTTATAGTCCATGTTTTAACTACCCCATTGTTTCTCTATAATCTACAATAGGGTTCACACCTAGATCTAACAGCATAGGCCGTTCAGGTACTTAGTCCCATGAGTGGCTGAGACTCAGAAGGAAACCCTAATGCCTACCCCATTTTGGGGGTGTTACACATGTGGGTAAGCCACTTGTCAAGGGATTGTTGTGACATAGGCTGGTTATACACCTATGACAGACAAGAGAAAAAACCAATGAGGAGGGCTTATAATTTATAACTTGTTGAGAGATGGGCATACAGTGACAAGAAAGGGGGAGAAGTTTATTCAATTGACATTCAATTGGTAAACATTTCAGAAAGATGCAACAATACTATTTAAGCTTCCTTTGCCACTATTGTTGTACATTGCCTGGACTCACTTCTCACTTAATGATGGAAATTCTGGTCCCAATTACCATTGATAACTGAGGACTACCTGTAAATATGATTCCAAAGTCAAGTAAATAGAAGTTCTTAGAACAGGGGTACATAAGTCTCTCTTGACTGGAAAGTCTTTGCATGCCAATGAAAATATAATAGGTTGATATGGAGTTTCAAAGCGTAGGAACAGCCAGGAGGAGACCTTCAGTTTCTCCTTCCCCACTTTTGCTCTATCCAGCTGGAAACTGTAAGAACTGAATCTCAAATTCCCCCTCCCCGAAAAACCTCTCAGCAGGGTTGGAGGTTCTTCTTGAGCAATGTGGAATGTGATACAAGGAGTTATTTGGGGAAGGGTGGAATTCCATACACTTATCCAAATCCAAGTCTATGAGGTAATTGTGAATGAAGTTAGATTAAATATTGCCTTGATGGTTATAATGCAAAGTTTTTATTTCATGTTAGGAGAATGCTTTCGTTTAATAAATAAAATCCCACTTAAACTCACATTTGTTTAAACTGAAGAGCTAAAGCTATTAACAGAAATGTGTTTGTCAACTGATTTGATCATGCTTTGTTTGACTATTGCTCACATTTATCATTCCCTGAAATATATTCCATCTTGATTAGTACAGTGTACTCTAAGGCTGTTCTCTATAAAAAGCAAGGTGCTTCAATTTGTGCAAAATGCACCTGCTAAGCTAGGAATAGGTATACTATATAAATCACATAATGCTATTACTGAAAGATCTGTACAGGTCATCAGTGGCTTAACAGGCACAATTTTAGATGTTGGCATTAAACTTTAAAATCCTAAATAGCTTAAGGCCTGACAGTCTGAGGGGCTACTACTTCTGTTGATAACCTATCTGACAATTGTGATCTGCAGGACAGACCCTTCTGAAGATGCTGTCAATGTCAAAAGCCTGAGCTATGGACTGTATTCCCTAGGGATTTATACTTGGCCCCCCTTGCTCATTATTAACTGTAAAAATGTATCTCTTTTGTCCAGCTTTTAATTATTAATTAAGTTTAATGTTAATTTTAACTAATGTTTTAAAGTTTTGGGGCTTTTAAAAAAAATTGTTAGCAACCCTGAAATTTTACTTAAGTAGAAAGGCAAGGTATAAACTGAATATTTTTAATATTGATATTTGTGTATTTATGATTATTTAGTTATTTATTTATTTTTATTTGGTTTATATTCCTCCAGGAGCTCAAGGCAATGTACATATTACTCCTTCAAATTTTTCCCCACAAGCCAGCATTCAGTATTATTATATGAATGAAAGATTAATTGACCCAATATCATCTGATCAGGTTCCGTGGCTGAGGGTGGACTTGAACCTAGGTCTCCCCAGTCCAATATCTAAAGCACTATATCTGGGAGAGGAAAGGTGGTAACCTGTGTAGGAAATGGTAGCCTGTTCACCAGCCTCTAAAATGCCCTAGAATAACACATCAACCACAGTATTTTGTAGTATGATGGTGCTCTCCAGAAATTTTGACCAACAGTAGCAAAATCTTCCCCCAAATTTACAAAGAAATAAAACCAAATAATGATGGAAACTGTGTAATAGAAGAAATGTAATTTCAGTGAATATAAAATAAAGCAAATGGGTTTTTAATAGACTAGTAATTAATGAATGGCTATTTAATAAAGAAATGGAATGCATTTTGAAAGAACAACAGCAGAAATTGCAAGCTCCCACATTCAGGTAGGCACTGGTAGATATCACAATTAATGTTATAGTCCCCTGTCCCCCAATTGGAACTACACTGAGAATGGTTGTAGTTGCCTAAATTTGAGAATTGTTGTTATTCAGTGGTTTGCTTACATAATATTAGAGTCATCTTTACAAGTAACTTGTAAAATAGGCCAGCATTATTACTCACATAATGTATTTGGGGGTATAGTCTTTTATCTAAGGCTACCATGTTAGTTCTTGTCTAAAGTGAAAGGGACCTCTAGTTCATAGTTTCTATTATTAAGCCCAACCAATATAGAAACTCTTTTTCATAAATGTGATAGTAGGGATGATGTTTTAAAAGTTGTTTTAGATTTAGTTCCAGAACAGAATCATCTCAATCACTTTGGTTGATGTTTTATGCTTGGAGGGTGACAGGAGAAATGTGATATAATCAATTCTAATGAAATTACAGAAAGTAAATGATAAAAGAACTAAAGTCATATTATAGCCCATAACACTTGGTTATAGATGACTTTCCTAAAAGATTTATGGAAAAAATGTGTTGCAAGCTTCCTAAAAGAAGAGCCTAATTCCTAAGGGAATATTGGGCGAGAGATATGTTCTGCAACAAAAGAGATCATTACCGTATCATAAATGTTCCATCTGAATTAATATTCTGTTAATGGTCCTAGAATCCTTTGGGAATCATAAAGGATGGAAAAGTTATTCTGGATCTCAGTATAATTCCAATCTCTATCTTTATCTATCTTTGGGTTTGTACGACTGACTCTTTTGTACAGGATTGTGGCACAGCCTGCTTATATTGATTAGATTGATATTATATACACACCTATAACACATAAACGTAGATCTACCTTTCTGCTAGATTGCATCTTACTTTTACTGACTCTCAGCTAGTCTGCTTGGAAGCTATATAACATGATTTGTTAGTCTTCTGAATTTGAAATCAGTAGCTTCAAAAGTTAACTGTTTCAAATCAAAGTGTGAGTCATTTTTCATGCAGCAGATGGCACTGTGAATGTCTGTAAGAAAGAAATCAAGGAGAAAATTATGCCTGGGTTAACAGTGTTAAAATTTCTGGGGCTGAATTAGTGCCTAATAGTTGCCAAAATTCAAGTTACTTTAATTCAGAGCATAATTTACCAGTTGTCTGCTCAGGAGTTCTAACTGTACCTATTTCTTATGGCAATGGATTTAGAGTAAGAAAAATAACAATATTAAAAAAGAGATAGAACATTTTAAGATATAATGGTATAGGTAAAAAAAAGTATATGGTGAGTAGGTTATTCAGAATGTGATTCTTAGTTTATAAAGAAAAAATGATAGTTAAAAGACATTTTGTTTTGTATCTTCTAAAACAAAGTTACATATTTATGTACATAAGATGGCTCCAGTAAAGCACTAATTTGGGAATACTAATTTATTACCATAGCTTAAACAAACCTAAATCTATGCTGAATGGTCTGTTGTGTGCAAACATGAAAAATTGGCTGCAATACATATATCCCTGCATAGGATTTGGGGGGCAGGGGCTGGCAACATACTGTTTTCCAAGTATAATTTAATTTATGAGTTCTGCTGAATTACAGTGTGTGTGTTTTCTTATTGTTTTAGGTAATGGACCCCACCATGATCGATGTAGCATTTATAACCCATGCAATTTAGTTGATGGAGTTTACTGCCTCCCAATAGGGCACTGGATTGAAGTTTCTGGGCATACGGATGAAATGAAGCATACAACTGACTTCTATTTTAATATTGCTGGACATCAAGCTATTCACTGCTCCAGGTAACAAAGGAACAAAAATATACCACAGGGAGAATTAGGTGTGAACAGAGATGAGGTGTGGCTTAGGTGGGGACTTTCATAAAAAGATGCTAAGCATGTGTTGTCTTAAGCATTTCCTGCCAGAGGGCTGTTCGTATTATCAGTCCAAATATATTCTGCAGTCTTTATTCTAACTTTTCTTCCATAATGGAGGACAGAAATAAGAAAACTTAGAACACTCTCTGATTGTCTTTTGGTTCACTGGTGTTACCCCTTCCTGGAAGGATATATGGCCTGTTCAGTCAACCCACCCCAGGTGATCCATGGAGCCAAAGAGTTTCCAGAGAGAGCTTGAGGTTTTCCCCGAGGATTTGGTGAACAGTTCAGCCAAGGCCTTAGGTGCTGCCTGGAATGGGCAGGTGGCTGGGGTATTGGACTGCATCTCTCTGTGCACTGATCCTAGGTGTATCTTTGTTCACTGAGGAGTTCCAGGAGATGAAGTACCAGAAGAAATACCTGGAGCACTGTAGGAGGAAGACTCAGAGTGAGTCTGACTAAGCACAGGTAACTTGGACTCTGACTGGGCAGGTCCAACTGAAGTGCCCGGGCCAGATCTTGTGGTACAATCTGGGATGAGTTTGAACTGGTGACTCCTGAGGAAGTGGACAGGGTTGTCAGTTTGGCCACCTGTTTATTGGACCCAGTACCCTTCTGGGTTGTGAAAGTGGCCAGGGAGGTAACTTGTCGTTGGGTCCATGCTATGGTATCAGCCTCTTTGAGGGAGGGGGTGGTACTGCTGCCTTGAAGGAGGCAGTGGTGTGCCCCCTCCTTAAGAGGCTGTCCCTGGACCCAACACTTTTAGATACCTGTAGTCTCCAATCTTCTCTTTTTAGTGAAAGTTGTTGAGAAGGTGGTCAGTCTGCAGTTGATGGTATCCTGGGATGGGGGTAGTGGATAGAGGGCACCTTTGGGGACAGTGGTCACTGTTCTATGGTAGTTCTGTTCCTTCCTCTGGGGCCAGTTTCAATCATTATTTGTTGGGGGAAAGAGGTCGTACCCTAGGGCTCTCCATTGTGGGGTGCTGCAGGGCTCAACTGTGTCTCCCCTTTTATTCAACATCTACATGAAACTGCTGGGTGAAGTCATCCACTGGTTTGGGGTTTGGTATCATCAGTATGTTGATGATACACAATTATATTTTTCAACCCCAGGCCAGCCAAGGGAAACTGTTCAGGTTCTATCCCAGTAGCTGGAGGCTGTACAGGTTTGGATGGGGAGGAACTGTTTCTGACTCATCCTACCAAGACTGATTGGCTGTGGTGTTTGGGGCTGTCTAGATCTGGAAATATTCTATCTTTGGCCTTGAATGGGGTTGCACTTCCCCCCAAGAGTGGTACACAATCTGGGGGTACTCCTGAACTCACAGCTCCTTCTTGATGGGCAGGTCAGGAGGGTCTTTGCACAACTTCAAGTGTACCCTTTCCTAGATCAGTTGTACCCTTTCCTAGATCAGGAGGCCCTTCAGTCACTCATGCCCTAGTCATTTCATGGCCTGACTTCCACAGTGCACTACATAGGTCCTTGAAGACCACTTGGAAATTTCAGCTGGCTCAGAATGCAGTGGCACAGGCAGTGATGGGCATGCCTTAGTGTGCCCATGTGGCACTTCTGCTTCCTGAGCTGCATTGGTTACTAGTATGCTTCTGGGTGCAATTCAAGGTGCTGGTTATGACTTATAAAGCCCACATGATGTAGGGCCTTGTTAGGTGAAGGATACCTATCTCCTGTGGTATCAGCTGGACAGTTTTATCCAACAGAGTTGCCATGCTCTAGGTCCCTTCAGTTAAATGTTTTTTGTCAGGACCACAGAAGCATGCCTTTCATGGCACCTACCCTCTGGAATGAGATTCCCCCCAATATCCATGTGGCTCCTACTCTGCTGGCATTCCAGAAAGCTTTAGAGACTTGGCTGTTCTCCTGGGCCTTGGGTTAAGGTGATTGGTGGGCTGCCAGATCCACCCCCGAGTTTTGTTGTTTATTCTTTTATAAGCATTCTGTTTTTTGTGTGATTGCTTTTATTTTACATCACCCAGAGTCATTTGAAGTCAGGCAGTGTCTAAATCGAATGAATGAAATTAATTAAAATAAATGTAAAGCTTTGGGTGGGTTACAAATGAAAAAACATTGTGTGAACTTTCTCCTCCTCTAAAAGTTTGTGCACAATTTTTAGTTATTTTAGATTACCCAAAGATCTCTTTTGCATGTATGTTTCAGGTCTTAGAGATAAATATTCTGGTTTACCAATACTAAAAAAGTGCAGAATTCCCTCAAATTAAGATTGATTCTTGGTATCACAGGTAGTTTTGGGCAGCATAATGGATGTGGCTCACAACTGCTTTCTTCAGGGGTGTTTTTTTCAGCTTCCTACTCTAGCTTATAGCCCCTGGTGGTCTCCCATCCAAGAAGGGTGCTTAGTTCCTTTGGAATCAACCAAGGCCAGCTAGGTGCTGCCATCTGCTCTGATTCCTGATGTCATGGAAAGATTAATAATAAAAAAAAGCCAGTTATGAAATACTGCCAGTCAGTTTATTTACATACTTTTAACAGTACCTGACATTTTGTTGAATGAACATCTGATTGAGAAACTCAGCAATTACTTTTAATATTGAGTACTGTCTGCTTTATTTGCACTATCAAGCAATCATCCTTTCTGTGCTCCAGAATTAAAACATTTATTGCCTTCGCGAACAAGGCCCTCAGCAGCTTTCTACAAATATCTGTAAGTAGATGCTAATCTCCACATTCAGCTTCTTGACTAACAACAGTAATAGCAGTTGCCAAGCATTGAATTTAAAGTGAATAAGATAGAGGCAAAGATATAAGATAAGGAATTCACTGTCAAGCAGAAGAGAACCAAACCAAAAGCAGTCACAAGAAAAAAAAGGCAGTGGTAGGGGTAAGAAAGCCAGGCAGTAATAGGTACCAGATTAAAAAGATACAGCGACCCTTCGAAATAACAAAGTTGGGTTCTCATAAACTGAATGCAGTAGGTGCAGCTTGCTTCCTTATGACCCTGACGTGGCTGAAGCTGGCTAACATGGAACAAATTAGATGGAGTTACAAGAAAAGCACATGTCAGAGTTTGTTCTTTACATATTTGCATATTTGTGGTCGGTCGGTCGGTTGGTCGGTCTGTCTGTCTGTCTGTCTGTCTGTCTGTCTGTCTGTCTG